ATGTATATTTTGTCGTATTTCTGGAGTTAGTAACAAAAATAATTTCCCGCTAGGATTAATAAAGTATTTCTGATTCTGATTCTGACCTCCGTCTGCTTTCCTCAGAGACAGAATGTGAAATCAGACGTTTAGTAGGAGGGAAACCAGTCATCTCTGAGGCTTTAAAGGATCAGAACCAGGATTTTTACAGCAAATAAACTCTATTTTTATCTGCTTATTTAAACCTAGAGACGTCTCTGACTGGGTCCCTTCCTTTTCCTGCTGTTACCTGGTGGATTGGAGCTTTATTTTGAAGTCAAACGCATTCAGACCTCCTCTGTTTCATCCTTTTTTTTGTAAAAAAGATGGAGTGAATCCCTTTAAAACCCCAACACAAACCATTCTCGGGGGGGGCTCCTCCCCTTTAGCTGGAGTGCCTCTGTGAGCGTCGAGTGGCTGGATTCTGGATGCAGAATGGAAATGGGAGCTCCGCCTGCCTTTGTGTGCACAATCTCCACGTTTCTACCCACATCTGGACTCACACACAACACTTATTGATCAGAAGAGCCAAAACCCCCCTTCAGCATCTTTATTTCAGCTTTTTTCAAGGTTTAAAGGGGCTACCCCCGCATTTTTGATCCATAAATAAGGTGGATTTTCATTTCTTAACCTTGAAAATCGCAGTTTTCTTGCATTTGATTGAATATTCGATCCAACTCCACAAAGAGATGTGCTCATATTAAGCTTTATGGTGTAAAGTTGGAAAATTTTTTAAACAGAAATCTCTTAACTCATGCTCTGTTTTAGCTTTAATCCCCAGTGGTTTGGGCAGGCAAACAACAATCTGTTATTATTATTCATATTTAAAATTCAGCAGCCAATTCTACCTCCTATTTTTATTACGTCCTCAAATTGAGGCAATATGAATGCATTTATGCTAATTTATGCTCTAAATTTGCCTTAAAGAGGCACAAAAATACCTGTTTTTTGCTAATGTTGCTTATATTTGCTCTTGGAAAAATCCCAAATGCAAATTCCACCCAGAAAAATCTTTGACACCCTCAGAAAACATGTAAAACAAAGAAAGGATGTTGGCTAATTACGAGGACGACAAACTAAAATGTTATTTTCAACAATGATATTGAGAGAAAAGTGCAGATTTGAACCTGCAGCCTCTCTGATGAT